TCTCCTTCTCGCCATGGCGGAGGTAGATCCCCCCTCGCCCCGCCTCTCCCTCTCGGCCTCCTCCTTCCGAGACATAACTGTCTCACAAAAAGAGGAGACCGCCTCTCAAACATCTTCTCCCTCCAACATTCCCCTAACAAGGGAAGGGAGGGAGAGGTCTTCGTCAACCACTTCAACCAGGACCCAACGCTCATCAGCCCACGCCGGGCATAACTCGAGCGTATGCTGCGCCGAGTCCTGGCCGGCTGCGTAGTGGTGGCACCGCGTGGTGGGCTTCTTCCCTATCCGGCACAGGTAGTCACCAAAGCATCCATGCCCGGTGAAAACCTGCGCTATCCTGAAGGAAACTCCTCCTCCCCTCCTACCTACCCACTCCAGTAGGCAGGGCTGAATGGCCTCGACGGTCCTTAATCCAGGTAGACCCGGAATATTGTGTTCGCTCAGTCGGTGTTGCCACTCCCTGAGCGCCCACTTCCGGGCCCTGGCCTTCTCTTTCGCCACTTTCCTGGAGATGTTCTCGGGGGAAATACCGCTCCGTCCGACCTTTATCGCGCACCGATACGATTTGGCACGCGATTTAGCGACCAGGTCGAGCGGGAGTACCCTCGCCAGGGTCGTGGCCGCCACATACAACACCGTCCGGTAACACCGGGCGACTTTAATGACCATGCGCCTATCCGCCCTTTTAACTAGGGCAAAGGCGCGTTTGTTGGCAACCAGGTCGCCCGCCCAAATTTGTGCCCCATAGAGCGACACCGATCGGACGGTGTTCGTGTACAAGTGCCTAACTTTTGCACTTGGACCGCCGAGGTTGGGCAGGAGACGACATAACGCGTTTGCCATCTTGTCCACTCTGGGAGCAAGAGCATTGAAATGCTGAGTAAACTCTCAGAGTCCATCCAGGGTGAGGCCAAGGTATTTTATCTTGGACCCCACAGGGATACGGGACCCTCCGACTTTGATGAATGTCGGGGGTGGTCTCCCTCCTGTCTTATTATGGAAGAACAGGGCTTCCGTCTTCAAAGGAGCCACCTGTAAACCCAGGCCCCATATAACGCGCACCACGCTTGCCACGGCTGCAGCCGCGGCCTCCCACCACTCCTCCCCCCAAGCCATGACTAAAGTGTCGTCCGCATAACAAACGACGTTACAGCCCGGAGGGAGGGCCGTCTGGAGCACAACATTGTACCCGAGATTCCACAGCGCCGGGCCCAAAACAGTCCCCTGTGAAACCCCGCGGTACATCCTCTTCTCGCACACCACGCCGTTCCCATCCGTATATGCGAATGACCTGTCCCTAAGGTAGTCCCACAGGACTGCTCGAAGATAGAGGGGCAGCCGGAAGTAATCGAAGGCTGCCCCCAGACAGTCCCAGGAGAGGGAGTTAAAGGCGTTCACAATGTCAAGAGACACTGCCATTGCTACCTCCCCCCCTTCAGCGCAGCCTCCGAGAAGGACCGCACGTGGTTTATGGCGTCCACAGTGCCGCGTCCCTCCCGAAAACCGTACTGCTTGTCGCTCAAAGTGGGGCCACCCCGGGACGGTGCTGGATGAGGCGACTAACGATGATTCGCTCAAAGAGCTTTACTGCCTCGTCCAGCAAGCATATGGGCCGGTATGCGGAGGGCTGCTCCGTCGGCTTGCCATTTTTGTGGAGGAGAACCAGATTGGCCCTCCTCCACCGCGAGGGAAAAGTGCCGGATCTGAGACAGGACGTAAAAAGCTGCCCCATCCGGTCACTTAACACCCTCGCTGCCAGAGCCCATGTCCTGCCGGGTATTCCGTCGGGACCAGGTGCTTTGGTTGTCCCGCCAAGCCTGGCCCGCACTGCGGTTATCTCCTCTGCTGAGACTGCCGGTTCCTCGGGCCACGTCTCCCCGATCGTAGGGAGAGGTATGTTGATTTCCTCCACAGGGAACAACGTGTCCACAATGTTCCCGAGGATTGCCGGCTTTAGTCTCTCCGCAGTGGGAGGCGCCCTTGGTCTCAACTTCCTGAGCACCAACTTGAAGGGTTGCTCCCACGGATCCCAGTCCAGGGTGGAAGTCAACTCCTCCCATGCCCTGGCCTTCTCCTTTCTGATGGCGGCTCGCAGGGCGTTCCGCGCAGCCCGAAACCTCTCCAGAGCTTCCGTCATTCTGGCGTGATCCCTCCTTCTGCGCACGCGCAAGAAAGTACGTCTGGCGGCCGAGGACAGACGCCTAAACTTGGCGATCTACTTGGTCTACCAGTACATAGCCTTGCCGGGAGACCCTCTAGATCGTGGCACAGACGCTTTGCACGCGTCCTCAACCATGCTCACGACCCTCGTGGCCTCTTCCTTCAGGTCCACGGCCTGGCCAGATGGCTTTGGCCAGGATTCCACCAGAATGACCGCCATCAGGATGTCTTCATTGATCTTTCTGAGGACCCATCCCCTGCGGATGTTACGCCGACGGCGGCTGAGCTGTCCGGTGGGGGTGGTCGAGGCCTCGATCACAATGTATCTGTGGTCGGACCCCGAGTCCAGATCTTCGTCCACCCACCAACCCGTGACTCTGCGTGCAGCCGACGGGGAAGCCCACGTGAGATCCACGATGGACTCCCCCCGGGTACGTACGCAGGTGCTCCTCGAACCCGTGTTTAGTAGACACAGACCGAGTGCCGCCGCTCATTCCACCATTTCCCCTCCCCTCTCGCCGGTTCGCGAGAAACCCCACAGCGTAGACCACGCGTTGAAGTCCCTCGCGACTATAGTGGGCCGGGGGAGGCATCTGCGTACGCAGTCCCCCAACTCCGACAAGAAGGTCTTAAAGGAGGGGAGTTTCCATTTAGGTGGGGCGTAACACCCCAGTACCGCCCACTCTCCCCACTCTACCGCCACAAATCCGCACCCGGCTCCAAACTTGGAGCACGGGCGCGGCACTGCGGCTGGTCGCCACGATATCGCGACCCCTTCCCCCGTAGAGTCCGTAAACCAGTTGGGGTGGTCTCTCTGTATTCTATACGGTTCCGAGATCACTCCCAACTCGAACCCACTCTCCGCCATGGTCTGGTTAAACAAATCTTGTCCCACGGCGGAGTGGTTCGCATTCGCTTGTAGGATCCTGGTAAAAGGGAATAGTCCTACTCAGGATCCCTCGGGACGTACACAACGTCGTCGTCCTCCTCATCCGCGGCTGGCATTGCTGTTGTGGTTTCGCGTCTACCCCCGTGCCGTTCAAAGACTCTCGCCGGTCTCTGCTCCAGCGGCACCCCAGCTGGGTTCCATTGGGGGGATAGGGATTCCTCCAGCGGCCTATTCGCCGCTGTCTCTCGGGCAGGCGTGCTGGTCGAAGTCACGCCCGATGTTTCCCCTTCCTCTTTGACCGTTCCAGCGGGAACGTGCGCGGGTTCCGAGGCCGCGCCCGTCAGTCTCGCCTCCTCTTCTATCACACCTGCGGGTTGGGCACGGGGGCCCGTGCCGCGGCCGATGACCCCGCCCCTTTCCCTTCCATCTCTGGAACAGAAGTGGGTGTGGCCGCCAAGGCCACACCCAGTTGTCCTGCTTCTTCTATCTCCATCCTGGTGGGAGTGACAGAAGCGGTCGCGGGGGCCAAGGCCGCGCCCGTCCTCTCCTCCTTGTCTTCTTCCCTATGGACCCAGGCGGCCTGGGTGCGGGCACCGGGGCCAAGATCACGCCCACAGTGACACTCCTTCCCATTTTTCCCCAGTTCTTAAGGGCCTTGCAGGCAGGGCCCCCCACTCTATGCGTGTGGGGGAGTCCCTTATCCCTGCATACAGGGCAGCTCACGGGGTCCTCACAATCCCTAGCGACGTGTCCCGTAGAGCCGCACCTGTAACAGGCGTTGCTCTTGTCTGACGAGTTCGTGCAGATGATCCGCACGTGGCCCGTCTCCATACATTTGTAGCACTGCAAGGGTCTCTCATCTAACAGGGATACCCTTGCATTGCCCCACCCCACTTTGATGCTATCTCCCTCCGCGACCTTGATTGCCGCAATGAGGGGGCACCGCACCCAAGTCACCCCCTTTCCATTTCCCACTGGGGAGAGCCGAATAGGTCCAACTTTAACCAGTGTGGGGGGTCATTCCCCCACCTTGGCCACGGCATCAGCGACTTCGCTTGGCTCAATTGATTCCATGAGTTGATCCGCAACTCCCCCGTCTTGGAGGGTCTGACCACCCTCACGCTTTCCCTTCTCTGAAGGACCTTCCTTAGGGCCTCGGCCAGGGCATCAGCCTTCTTCTCGCTATCTGGGCCCGGTGTTTCCAGGCGGGTGGCTCCCGTCCTGGCTTTCCCGAACTTCAGATGCTCGATCCCAAAATCGTTGAGGCTGATCCTGCCCCTCGCCTCCCTCATGATCCGGATGTAGTCCCCCTGCGAGCAGATGACGATGATCGCCGCCAAGTTAGGGGGCCTCCGGATCTTTTGGGTTTTTGTGAGGGCGGTTTGAGCCGGGCTCTTCCTCTCCTGCTGTCCTCCATTGGGTTCCAGTTTGGTCGCCTGGGCCATCCTCGCCCTTTTTCTCTTCCCCACCACCACAGCGTAGTTTTGGTTGGCGGGAAGAGGGGCTGGTACCCTCTTCTGTTGTTGCTGCTGCCGCTGCTGCTGCTGCTGTTGTCCATGCCGTTGTCGCTGTATGTGGGGGGTTCTCCCCTCCTGTGCAGCCGGTGGCTCCGCCAGGGTCGCGGCCTGTCCTCCCCCATTTCAACGCAGACGTGGGGTTCCTTTAGAGGAGGCGGTGGAGGGAAAGAAAACGGCCTCGGTCTTTTTTCCCCTCTTGCCCCTCCTTCTCCCCTCTTTCGGGGGGGGGGAACTCCTTCTTTGCTGTTGTGACCGAGGTCGGGACATATCTCAGCCTATCAAGGACTGCCGGTAATAGCTATTTGAGCAGTCCCGGCAATATCCTCCGGATCTCCTTCCCCCCAATAGTGGTGGGGGGGGAGGACCGTTTCTTCTATCCCTCCTGAGTTGCCCCGCTGTCCGGTCCCGCACGGGCGGTCGGGGAGGGTCACCCCTCTCCTCCATCCCGGCCACTCTCCTCATTGAGCCCATCACTGGGCTGATAAGAGGCGGACCGATAGCTGGGGCAGGGATGGGGAGGAAGGGGGGGTGGGTGGGATCCTCCCTCTCAGTTTCACCACCTCCTCCTTCAGCCTCTGATTCTCCATCCGGAGTTCCTCTACTTTATTTTGGAGGTCCTTCTTTCCCAGGAGAAAAAAGTCTCTCTCCGGGGTGGTCACTCCTCTCCTCCTTGATTTCGTCGGCCTTTTCCTGGTTCCACCTTTGGCCACTCCTCTATTCGGGGGCGTTATCCCCGCTCCGTCTCCGGGTAGCTCCATCATCCCTCCCCTCGGGGTTCCAAAAAGGGCATCCTCATCTTCGCAGTCACTCGAGGTGTAGACTGCTCCCTTAGTCTTCCTCTTAGTGCCAGAGGAGTCCCCGTTATTCCTGGACACCCTGGTGTCGCTCCGCAGTCGACCGACGATCGATCTGTCGGCGACTACGTCCCGTCCCGCATCTATACCCCCTCTTTGTGCTTCGTTTCGTGCCAACTCCGTACCAGCTTGTGTAGCCTGTTTGTCATCGTTCAATCCGTCCCTTGTGTTTTTGTTTTGTTTAATTGTCTCCATTTTTGTCCCACGAATAAGGTAGGAAACAATTGGTCCATACCGACAGAGCTTCCTTACCGGGATAAGGCGACTGAAATACTGTGGGTTTGCGCCAGGTGCCCCACAGGAATCGTTTGCGACCGCACATTTTTATAGTCTCTGCGGCCATTCAGCCCTCGGCACGATGCCTTCCACCTTGGCTTGAGACTTCCGCGCTATTGTCCCGGACTCAATACACCAATCGGCGCG